AAATTCCACCCATCATTAGAGGTGGGATTCCTGCTCCTTTCTGACTTGACATTTTAACTTCTCTCTACCATCCTACTTTCAAGGAAAGCTTATAAAACCTCTTTCCTTCCTCAAATGTCCTTTTGTTTAGTCCTTGCTGTCCAATTTTCCACTCTGTTTTCCATTATTAGAAGTTTATTTAATTTGAAGATATATAAATACATTGGAGAGCTAAATCACCTCTGGTTCGTGATGCTTTGCAATCTGAAGTTCAAAAATGTCATCATCATCTTCATCAATAAGGCTGGCATCCAATGCACCAGGTTCTGGCCCATCCAGATCTTCACGGGAGCTGAAGTCATCAGCTAATGGTGGGTGAGCAAGGAAATAGAGAAAATAGCAACAGCACTAAATAAAAGCGCATCAGCTGTTGGGATTGTTTAAGAGGTTTTTTCTAATTTATCTCTAAATTTTTTCCTACTTAATGCTATTCCTCTGTTGTGCCCAGTATGTACACATGGATAAGGAGAGAAGATTAAATGGATTTCAGAGACGTCTGTAGTCTCAGCTGAGTGAAAGGAAGAATTGTGGAAAGGCACTCATTGCTTTGCTAGCTCTCTTCACTCTTTTCCTCCAAAACTTCTTGGAGGGGAGTGACTAACCCAACTTCCCCACTTGCTGGCACTGGCATTTGAAATTGGGAATCAATCAAGCAGAATCCCAGGGGCCAAGGAAGAAAGCAGACTGAGGCAAATCCACTCTTGCAAGTAATGCCTTGGGTGAGGAAAGTCTGTTAAGGAAAAACTCAGCACCGGTACTTTGTCAGCCTGGGCAATCTATTGACACACTTGTACTCTACAAAGCATCTTTATCCTGATTGATGTGGCTCTGCCCCAAAGCCTACTTTTAGGAGAATGTTTCAAAATCAGAAAAGGGTTTAGGTAATAAAACAGAAACTACTTCTAACTGCTGGAGGATCAATTGCCAGAGGGCATAGACTTACACAGACAGTTGAAGAACTGGAGGTAACACGAGAAAATCATTTTACGCAACAAGTAGCATTTGGTAAGCTTGCCTTTATTGGTAAGTGCATTGAGTATGGGAGTTGGGAGGTCATGTTATGGCTGAAGGGTGACCTTACAGAGGTTAATAAAATCATGAAGGGCATGGATAGGGTGACTAGCCAAGGTCTTTTCCCCAAGGTGGGAGAGACCAAAATTTAAAGGAATAGGTTTAAGTTGAGAGGAGAAAGATTTAAAAAGGGACCTAAGGAGCAACTTTTTCACACAGAGGGTGCTGCATGTATGGAACAATCTGCCAGAGGAAGTGGAGGAGGTTGGTACAATCACAACATTTAAAAGGCATGTGGATGAGTATACGAATAGCAAAGGTTTACAGGGATATGGACCAAACATTGGCAAATGAGACTAGATTAATTTAGGATATCTGGTCGGCATGGACGAGTTGGATCGAAGGGTCTGTTTCTGTGCTGTACAATTCTAAGGACTCTATGACTAAGTGGTTAGGATTTTGAAAGTATTGTTTAACAGGGGAAACATATTTGGAAGCAATTTTCACTGTAGTATTGAATAAAAGGATTGGGAGAAAAATATAAGCGCATCGGGAAAGAGTCAGGAAGTGGGGCTAATTTGAATCCGTGTTTGAACATGCCAACAGAGTCAATGCGTTGAATTATGTTCATCTGCACGATAATATACCATATTATACTTCAGCTTTTGGCTCATGTGGGCTAAACAAATTGAGGAATGAAGATGGAACTTTCAAGATTTCAAGAGCCCTGAAACCAATCTGAATCTTCAAACGCTTGCTGCTTCCAGTTACTATACCTGGTTGGGGTGTGAACAGTATTTGGAACCTAGAATTTAATTAGATCAGAAAGAAGAGAAATAATAGTCCTCTCTCATTAACTTGAGCAGGTTAAAATAGCACTGTCATCATTGGTTAATGCAAGTACTTGTTAAAATGTGGTGTAAAATATTAACAAGCTTGGGGTAAAAAATCATTAATTTGTCAGGACATGAATGGTACTGCTAAGATCATACTGATTACCCATCCTCCAAATTTTAAAAGAAAAGTATTATTTTTTCCCTTTCAATTGGTGCATTAGAGAAGAAAACTGTACAAATATTTACCATTTAGATCAAGGAAAACAACAGGAACATGCGTTTCCATTCCAGCCACTGGGCTCCTGCAAGAAATTCCAAAAAGCATATCAACATAGAAGGGGATAAGCTTTTACCACCTTGACGGAAAAATTGGTTGGCTAACCTGTGCAATAAAAATTAAACCCGACTCAATTACTATGAACAAATATTTCTAGCTTTATGTTCATGCAATTGTGGAGTACGATTTGCAAAACGTTGATTAACAAAGCATCAGAGATTGTATGTAAGGTGTAAAGTAATAAGAAAACAGAATTTGATTTATTCAAGTCACTATAAAATCAATGAATCTGGAGATACGGTCATTTTAGATCAGCTGTTAAAACTGAAGTTTTGAATCCATTACTGCTTGATGCTGTGACTGACCACATCAAGTTGTAATCATGTAATTTGAATTACTGGATAGTTCTAAACAGGCATGAAAGCAAAACTTCTCTATTTTTAATATTTTAGACCATCAGAATTTGGCAATTCAAAATGCAAAGTGCAGAAAGTTGACTATTCATTTCAGTTAATATTAAATATCTCAATATTTGCTGGCCATTGACTGTTGACTAATCTGCAAATTTATCACAATTGTTCACTTCTTCAGGCTGATGCGAGCTGCCTATTTGCATTGAAGTGCAAAGGCCCATTCAGGAGGCAAAAAAAAACACCATGGCATATTTAAATACAGCTGGCATATTTGCATTTGAAGGAGTAAGAGAAATGATCATACTATATTTGAAAACGGAACAAAAAGATGCTTGCAATTTAAAATCAGAGATAGTAGGAACTGCAGATGCTGGAGAATCCGAGACAACAAGGTGCAGAGCTGGATGAACACAGCAGGCCAAGCAGCATCATAGGAGCAAAAAGGCTGACGTTTCGGGCCTAGACC